TCATACGACCACCATAACCATCATTCTCACTACCACCAAGAAAGAAAATATCATTCTTTGATTTTTTTTTATTTAGTCTTTCTAGACTTCAAATATAATTATCATCTATCTATTTATCTATCTATCTATCTATCGATTGGGCAGTAGCATTTGTTATTTATTCATTCATTCATTCATTCATTCAATCACAAACTTTTGCTACCTAGTTATAACTATAGTTTTTAACTCTCAATTATTATCATTTATTCAACTGTTGAAGGAAACAAAATTGAGACCTATGATGATGATGATGATGATTATGGTCAAAAATGATGATGTTGATGATGATGATGATAATGATGTGATGCTTATTATTATTTTCTCTGATTCACACATCATTATCATCAATACAATTATCGATAACTTGTTGGTGGTGATGGCAAAGTAAGGTCAGGTAATCATCATCAACCAAACGATTTGGATGATTGGATGTCTAGTATTTGTGTGTGTGTTGACTACATATATAACCACATCATAATCATCTTGTTAGACTATTTTTTTCAGGTTAAAAAAACGTTTTCAATGATGTCGATGAAATCCGATGCTCATGTCATTTTTTTCTCCTTAAGTCAATCAATAGAAAAGTTATAAAATCACTGTTCATTTTTGATTTTCAAAGAATTTCAATCACTTATAGTGATAATGGTCACTGTTAATAAATAAAGACAGGAAATCCAGACCATCTCAGTGACAAAAAAAAAACGACAACAATTATTTCTTACAATTACCATCACCACCACCACCATCACCAATCATAATCATGGGCTGAATGTTTTTTCTCTGTTTTTCTTTATTCATTCATTGTTTTCCATCATCATCATCATCATCTCAATGATAATGATAATGATAATAAATTGCAAAGCAAAAAATTTAAATAAATTTCAATCATACATTTTTCCATCATTCGATTCATTAAATAGAATTTTTTTTTTATTCAGAATTTAATGAATGAAATTGTCGTAATTGTTGATCAAACTGAGTTTGTTAGTGTGGTTATTTTGTTGATTTGGTTGATTGAAATGATAGATCATTCTCATCATCTTATTTTCTTCATGACTACTACTGCTACTACTGCTGCTATGGTAATTGATCATTTTTTCGTTTAATCATTCATTCTTTTTTTAATTTCAATTTACTTATTTATTATGATATGATGATGATGATGATGATGATCGTTGTTTATTATATGTCAATATATATTTCAAATATCCATGATCTGAATACCAGTTCATTTCAAAGACAATAATAATTGTTTAAATAAATTGAAAATTATACAATTCAAAATCAATGATGAAGGAGAAAATTTAAATAAATAGAATATAAATTGATTCATTTCATTCATAGTAGTAGTAGTTTTATAGACACAATTGTGTATTGTTCATTTTCAATCATCATCATCATAATCATCTTGGAATGGAAATAAACTAGATCAGAAACACTGAGCACTGATTTGATGATGATGATGATATTCATCAAACAATTCATCATTATCCAAATCAAACAAATGAAATATTTTTCTCAATCAGAAATAAATCTTGAAAAAAAATATCATCATCGGAAGAGAAAAGAAATGATTTCTAAATGAACAAACCAAAAAAAAAAAAACGAAAATGATAAAATCATTAAATAATCCAATCTCGTTGATGGATTTTGATGATGATGATGATGAACTCTTTTTTTTCCTATTTCTTAACGATGAATACATAGAAAAAAAACAAACAAACAAACTTCTGATTGATTTGAATCTGATCTACGTGAACAACAACAACAACAACAACAACAACAAAAATGAAGAAGAAATGATAAATATCATTGTTGAAGTTAAATTGTTGAATTGAATTCATCCATCAATCTTTGTGGAAAAATGAGAGATAAATGAGAAAAAAAAAGAAATAAAATTTTCCTGTAGTAAAACCAATAAGTTCTATGATGATAGATTATATAGGTGAATTTATTATCATGGTAAAATGATTGTTCGTTCATTTCATTTGTTGTCGTCATCAAGAAAATAAAAATACCAAAAATCGATTATGATGATGTACAAATATGATCAAATCACAATTGGTAGGAGGAGGTTATCCGATGCTCAAAATAATAATGATAATATGAATCTATATAGAAAAAATGATTTTATTCCATTTAATTCGTATTCAAATCAATAAATGAAGAAAAAAATGTTTACTATTATGGTGTCAAAGATCATCAGATTTTTTTCCATTTTTTTTTTCGTTGGGCTGTGACACACGCAAACACAAACAGCCATTACGATTATATAATGATGATGATGATGATGATGTTGTGATTGAAACAAGCCAAAAAACAATAACCAACAAACTAACAAAAAAAAAAAAAAAAAAATCATCCTTGAATGGTCGGTCGTTACCATTTGCAAACAGCAACAACAACAACAACAACAATGATCATCATAATCATGTGCATAATGATAAACAATAAACATTGATCATCATCATCATCATCATTGGATGGATTGTATCATTTTCAATTCCATTTTTGAATGATTGAAAATCCAAAGAAAAACAAAAAAAAACCCAAAAAAATGAATGAATGAATGAATGAATGATTGAATCAATCGATTATTTTATGTTTCATTTTGGTTGATTACTATCTATAAATATATTATTTGCATGTTTTTCTCTACTTTTTTCGCTTTGTAACATTCAAATTTTGTTTGTCAAACTGTATTGTTTTAACTAAACCAAATCAAACCAAACCAACCCAACCACTAGATAATCATATAGAATAAAATAATGAAATGACATTATTCAAAAGAAATAAATTGTGATAAGTAAATGTCTTTTTGACTTATTATTGGTCATTGATGATCATCTCTCTCTCTCTATCAAATCATGATGTTCAAATTCATGAGTGTGTGTGTGCGCGAATCATTCATAATGATGGACAAACTTTTTTTTTTTTGTTGTTGTTGTTGTTGAATTGTTATTCTTTTTTTCTGGTTATTTTCTCCTGTTTTTTTTACACTGGCGTTAAAATTGTTGTTGATCAAATATCTGGCCAATCATCTGGATGATATGTGTGTGTGTGTGTGTATGTCACAATATAACAATAGATTATATAAAAAAAAAAAAGCAAAAACAATAACGAATAATGGAAATAAAAAAAAACCACAAAACAAATTATATTGATATATACAAACAATTTGATCATCGTCATCATCAACGATCAACGATCAACAAAAATCAATCATTGTCAACTATTATTTTGTCGTAATATATAAACTTGATTGTATACGTTATAGCCAGTCAAATAACAACTGTGAAAATAGGGTTTTTTTGTTTTGTTTATGATAATAATACAATAGTGAAAAATTTATATAGGTTGTTTATCCAGATTTTTGCATGTTGTTGTTGTTGTTGTTGTTATTGTATATTCAGTGATCAGAAGGTAGTCACAAAAGAAAAAATGTAGGATTTTTAATTAAAATATTGGGTAAAAAATCATTCATTGAAAATTCCGTGACAGTATTTTTTTATCGCGAAACCAAACAACAACAACAACAACAAAAATTACCAGAATAAAATTTACAAAATCACGGTACGTGATTGTTGATGAACGTGTGTGTCGTATTCATTGGTAACTGTAGAAATGATAACCAAAAAAAAAATACCAACTAATTCAATTCATTTTATTATTATTCGATATCCATTCATTGACCATTATCATTCTAAATGATAAATGTTGATAGTTTCATCATAAAAAGCAATTCATTTTGTTTTTGTTTTTCTTTTTTTTTTGTTGTTTGGTTGGTTGGTTTGGTTTGGTTTGGTTTGGTTTGGTTGGAATGCAAATCCTATTTAATTAGTTAATTACTTCATAATTATCACACACACACAAACACACTCATACATAAACCATGGCAATATTCTCATCATCAAAAATATACAATGGACCATGATATGATATGATATGATCATGATGATGATGATGGTGAGAATTATTTAGAATAAATTCTATTAATTATGAATCTTAACCTGGAATGAGCAATAATAGCAATACGTATAGAATGAAATTTTGAAAATATTATTCACTAGATCTTTAATATAATGAATTGATAAAAATAGAATCTAAACAATACAAAATACGTACACACACACACACTCACATAACAAATAATTAATAATTAACATCTATAATGAATGAAAATGGTCAACAACAACAACAACAACAACAACAATCAAATGATCAAAAATTTTTTTGCGAATGTAATTCACGTCCAGAAAATATTGATAGTCTAGATAGGATCATGATCATTCCATCACTGATCATTTATGGAATTTCTAGTGAAAGAATAAAATTATAATTATTATCCCATAATTCTTTTACCTTTGTTTGTTGCAGTTAAATATTTGCATTTTTATTATTATATGCACTCTGACATTGTATCCGTGGTGGATATATACACCAATGTATTCTCAGCAGGTAAAAGGTATTTGTGTTTTGCTGAAACTATTTCTGAAAACTTTTGGTGAAAAAAAACGATTAATAAAAAAAAGGTGATAAATAATTCAGTGAATCAAAAAAAAAAAAATAACATAAAGAGAATAAAAATAGATAATGATGATGATGATGATAATGAGAATCAGTCATTTTATTGTGGTTCAATGACGGCCGGATTACCAACATATACCGGTCTTTGGGAAACAAAATTATGTTTTTCCGATGGAACAACAACAACAACAAATGATCATTGATGATGATGATGACGGCACACAAAGTTAATTGTGTGACTAATTTGGATTTACACGTTGTTTTGACGACCAAAATATATATTTTTTTTTCGAAAAAAAAACAAAAATTTAGCTACTGAATATCAATATATGCTATACTACAGAAACATTCTCATAAATATTTAAACACAGAAATGATTTGAAAACGAAACAGCAATATCATCTAAAATCAGTATAAAATGACAGATTCAATTCAATTTAATAAGAAAATAAGGGACTTAATAAAATATAGATAGATATAAAATAAATATAACAAAGACAACGATAACCGAACAAATAACAATGGTTTACATGGTTAACATTAAAATATTATTGGGTCATTATTATTATTATTTTAATTATGATTAATTATTAATTATTATTATCAAGAAGACCGGCTGAACGAGCCATTGAATAAAAAATACTATCATTATTGGCTAATAGTTTATCTGGTGTATCGAATTCAGCAACATGACCATCATCCAATACAAGAATTCGATCCGAATCCATTATTGTGTTTAATCGATGTGCAATAGTCAATATAGTACAATCATTGAATGATTGTCGAATTGTACGTTGAATTAATGAATCAGTTTCCAAATCAACAGATGCCGTTGCTTCATCCAATACAAGAATTTTTGTTTTTCGTAATAATGCTCGTGCTAAACATACTAATTGTCGTTGGCCAACCGATAAATTTGAACCACTTTCAGTGATTTCATATTCAAGATGACCATCTAATGATTGTGCAAATTGTTTAAGATGTGCTAATTCTAAACAATGCCATATCTGATCATCGGTAAAACTTGTGAATGGATCCAGATTTGTTCGTAATGTTCCGGAAAATAAAACCGGATCTTGTGGTATAATTGTTAAACGATTTCGTAGTTGATGCAGACCAATTTTCGATATATCAATACCATCGATTCGAATACAACCGTTGGCAGCTTCGATCAATCGAAATAATGCCAATGTAAGCGATGATTTTCCGGCACCGGTTCGACCAACAATACCGATTTTTTCTCCTGATTCAATTATGGCTGATATTTTTTTCAATACTAAATCCAATTGTGGCCGATATCGGGTACCATATTCAATGAATTCAATTCTACCTTTTTGTGGCCAATCACTAGGTGGAGCCGTTTCATCAATATCCCAATCAGCTTCAACGGATAAATCCGTATATTCCAATATGCGTTCAGCGCTTACAATACTGAAAAACAAAAGACAAAATTGATCAAAAATTAATTACATTCATAGTCAAAAGATGTCGCCAGAAACATCGCTCACTAACTTTGTTTCAATATCAGTTGTAGAACGTACGAGATAATTGAGATTTTGTATCGTATTTAATGCATAAGTGAGGATAAGACCAACCGAACTGGAATCCATTTTTTGTCGATAAATAATGGAAAAAACAGCGGCAAAAAATACCATAAAATTAGCAATAAATTCTAAACGTATAGATAACCATCGATTCGATATGAACATGGCCAGATTACAGGAATTATTAATATCTGAATTGTCATCATTTTTTGTGATGAATTGTTCCATACAGGAATAGGCACGAATAGTACCAACACCGGACAATGTTTCACTAAAATGTGAATAAACGGGTGATTTAGTGATCGATTCGATTCGTTTCAATTGACGAGCAGTCGATATGTATAGCCTCTGCATGTGTTTGTATGTTTGTTGAAAATGGTTGAATGATGATGATTTGGGAATTTTTTTGTTGTTGGTCCGGTCGATATATGATGGCCAACAACAATAACAACACAAGATAAAAAAAAATCGAATACAACACAATATAGCCGAACGACAGATCATTGCCATCATCAGGATCATGATGATCGGAAGAAATGGATTCTCCAAACAAGAGAGTAAGAGAGAGAGAAAGATGTGAGACCAAACAAAAACAACGGGACCAAATGAATCAAAAATTCGGGCCAGAAAAAATATTGAAAACATATGTGTAGAAATAAGGGAGAGAGAAAGAGAAAAAAATCAATAATGAATAAAATGATCGATCTATTTTGATAAAAAAAAAGAAAATAGCAGTGTTGCTAGTGATGGACATATATAAATCACCTGAATCAAATAGAAACATATCACAATGGGTAGAATAATTATCAAAAATATTGGAATCTCTGAAACCAACATCATCATTGAATGGCGGCGACAACATTATCATCATCATCATCATTGTTGTTGTTGTTGTTGTTGTTGTTATTTCATTGAACGTTAAAGCGGAAGTAAATGGTGAAAAAAAAGAAAGAAAATAAAAAAAAAATTAGAATCATCAATCAGAAATCAATGATGATTATTATTATAGTATATATGATATTTATATACAAGATTAATGGAATGAAGAGTGTCTTTAACCATTTTGCTACTTTTTATTACTTTTTTTTGTATCTGACGAATACTGTTTTTCGACAGTATTTTTTATTTTGCTAAAAACAATTTTTTTTTTTATTTTGTTACATAGAAATTGTCTACAGAAAAAAAACTTACTCATAGAAATAATGATCAATGTAGCCAATGTTGAGAATAGGCAGCTTATGAATATCCTATGGGTGTGGGGTGTGTGTGTGTGTGGAATGGAATAGAGAGAAAAATAAGGAATCAAGTTATTTTCATCATTATATACATATGAAGACGTTGTTTTCATTGTTGTAGTTGTTCCATTGTTCAACGACAAAAGCAAAATGTCAAAAAAATTATTATTTATGAAAATAAATATAAAAATAAAAAACTTACCGAAAATTCATCTGTAAAGATGTATCACAAACATCGATATCTTTACTAAATCGATTTAATATTCGCCCTAAAGGTGTTACATCAAAAAATGACATCATCGAACGGAATATTGTATATAGCATTTGATTGTGTAATGAAGTTGCAGCTTTGATTATACCCTTTGTCAAGGCAATCCAACCAAGTCCACTGAATAGACCTTGACAAAGACCGATTGCACCTTTATATAAAAAAATATATCATTGTTTATTACATCAATGAATGAAATGTGATTTATATATGATCAATACAAACCATAGATAGTCAGATAATACATTGTATCGGAATGTTCCATATCATCATTTTGTTCAGATTCAGCTGACCAAACTGATAGCCATACACCGGATCCAGCATTGGATAATTGCACAAGTCCATAGTTGATTAGAATAATTATTCCCCATGTAATGGAAATGGCTTTCAAATAACGGCCATATACAAGGAGTTTAACCTGTCCGATTTGTGCCACTTCTTTTTCAATCAATTTACTTGTTGTCATGGTAGATTTTTTCCTGTCACCATTATCAATATTAACGTTTTGATCATTCAATGAATAATATCTTGTTTTTTTTTGTTTTTTATCAACATCTGATATTGTCTGACCATAATCAGCATCATCATCACCATTAGCATTATTATTACTGAATTGTTGTATAAGATTGGAAAAATAATTATCATTTTTCATTAATTCTTGATAGGAACCGGATTCGATTATATGACCATCACGAAGTACATAAATATGATCGGTTTCTGGCAATAACCATAAGTTATTTGTAACTAATATACGGGTTTTATTCCGTAATAATCCGGTTGTCGATGATATGACATGTTCATAGATATGTTTACCAACATGTGAATCGACTATATATGAATAGGATCAAGTTAAAAAATAAATCAATAATGAATAATGCACAAAAATCATACCAGCAGATAATGGATCATCTAATAAGTAAATATCAGCATCATTGTAGCAAGCTCGTGCTAGGCTAACACGTTGTTTTTGTCCTGTGCATGTGTAAGTGTGATAATTACATATGATGGTTCATTGGTTAAATTATTGGAGGGATTAAATAATAAAATATTATTTAATTAATTATGATTATAATAAAGAAATAAATTATACCTCCACTAAGGTTGATTCCTTTTTCACCAATTTCTGTTTGATCGCCATCGGGTAATACTTGTAGATCATGTTTTAATGAACAAGCTTCAATCACATTCCAATACATTTGTTCATTAAATGGTTGATTAAATAGAATGTTATCACGTACGGTATTATTCTGAATCCATGGTTCCTGCGAGGTATAGGCTATTCGTTTGGATTTAACACTATTTTTTTTTTTGAAAGTGAAAAAGTTTGATATTGATTATTATATCACATAACCAATTTGACCAACAACAGATCATCGACCCATTGGATGAATTCCAAATTTTTGTCCAGTTGAGAAAACAGAAAATAAAGAAAAGAAAAAAAAACATCAAGCATTAATCATGAATGGTTTTCTCTAAGCTACTTCAGACGTGAAGAATTATTGTATAGTCTCTTTAGAATAATAGAAAGAAATTGCCTATCGAATTTCTAGGTTATATGTGTTTGTGTCTATGTGAGTATGTATAAATGGATTTTTACATATTGATTGTTCCATTAGTCAATTCCATGTTTCCCAATATTGCTTGCAATAGTGATGATTTACCCGAACCAACAGCACCAACAATAGCTACGAAGGACTTTGGTTTAATTTTCATTTGGATTTCTCGCAAGAATGATTTAGATTGCTGTTGTTGTTGTTGTTGTTGTTGTTGATATGGTTGGTCATTTTTTTCACAATCATGTTTTTGTTTTTTGTTGTTGTTGTTGTTGTTCTTTATATTCTGCTGATTTTTTTTCTTATTTTGACCAACATTCTTGTCATTGTCCTTATCATCATCATTGTTACTGTTGTTTGCTTGTTCATATCGATCGAACCAACTGAATGAACAATTATCAAGAATCATGCAATAGTCATTGCCATTGTTGTTTGTTTGTTCATTTCGTACTATATAAATTGACAATTTAGTCGAGCTAAAAAAGTTGTTTAATCTTTTCACCGAAACACTAGTCTGTAATGAAAAAACAGAATAAAACAAATCAGAAACGAAAATGTGATAAAAGAAAAAAATCAGGAAATATTCACGTGCATTAGTGATTCGGACAAAACAGGATTTGATTTATGATTGTTGTTGTAAATATTTGTATGATACTTTGAACTTACCATAATGATTAAAGAAATAAGATTTGGTAACATTGCTAATGGAAAACGTAATATATTAAATAATGATAATGAAACAAATGCTTTTGATGCTGTCAAACGATTCTGTTGATCAATGCAAACATAAATGGCAAATGTAATGAATGAAACAAGAAATGGTGCCAAATTCAATAATGCCTGTATAAAGGCGGAAATGTAATTTATACGTTTTAAATTTTGTAATTCTTTTGAACGTATTGTTTCTATCCGTTGAATGAATGCACGTTCCCAACTATATAATTTGATAATTTTCATTCCATTCAATATTTCATTCATTGCTTTAACACGTTCATCCTTTAATTTCATCTGTTTAATTTGCAACCTTTTCGATATGTTCGTTACATATATATTGATCGGTATCAATATGATCATGAAGAAAAAACCACCCAATACGGATACTCCTATTTAGGGTAAATCGGACATTATCATCAAATAATAAAAGTGTTAAATGTGTAAAATTGAATTCTCAACACAAACCTAATTCACGCCATAATAAAACCAAAGCAACAATGATCTGTAATGGCGCCGACCACAATAGATTTATGAAGGCACTTATGTCGATAGAACGTTGTGCATCCACAGCCATCAGATTGACAATCTGTCCGGTGGTGAATTTAGACCTAGAACTATTCGATAATTGCAGTGATTTTCGATAAATAGCCGCTATTAATTGTGTACGAACACGAAGACCAAATAACATCATACGATTAAAATAATAATTTAATGCAAATATCTGGCCCGATGTTACCAGAAACAATAATAATGCAAAAAAATATCCATGCCAAAGTGGTTGTTGATCATCATTCATAAAATTGATCAATTGCCTAAATAAATGATTTAAAAATGGAACAAATAAATGAATGAATAATGTTAGTTGAATAGATCAAAAAAAAAAAAACAAAAAAACATACTTCAACACCATTGGATTAGCAAAGACGAAAATATCATTGAAAACTTTTGCCAATGAACCAGGTATAAAATAGTATTTAAGTGTTGACCAAATCACTTTGATAATATTTACTTTGAATCTTTTTGTTTCATTATTATAAACATTTGGATTGTTCCCATGTAATTTCTTCATATCATCATCATGCTTTTGTCGAAATTCTTCCAATTTATTCTGAAATAATTGATAATTATAAAATGAACTATCACATCGTCGTATACGCCAAATATCGGACAAAATGATTGGACGTTTTAGACCCAGATAAGTAAGCGGTGAATACCAGCTAAATGTTAATCGAGAAAAAAATGATGCTGTCATTTTAGCCAATGGTTTTTCTTGTTCTATATCGATCTTTATCAGAAACAAAAAAAAAAAAACAAAAAATGACAATAAAAAAATGAGATATGGTCAATGAAAAAAAAGGCAGACAGGATCGGCAGAAAAAAGAGTAATAAATCATGATTGTAAATGAAATGACAACTTTTAAAATGAAATATTTTAAAAAATTACCTTGGTAGTTTCTTCTATCGTTTTTTTGGCTTCAGGATCCGAAATAAAACTTTGAATAAACAATGAAAATGTTAGTAGATAATTTATCAACAATATAATCGTGTCCACCATAGTGGAATCAAGGTGCCAAAATGATTGTTGTTGATGACGATAACGGTCCATAATAATGGAAATGAATTCCAATAAAAGTGATAATGATTGTATACCTAAATATGACCATATAATGGCCGATGTATGTACATTACGTTTTACCATCGACCAAAAAAGTGTGAATAAAATGATCTATGTGATCAGCAGAAAAAAAATGATTATTATTAACTGATGATGAAAAAAACTAATCAATAAAAGAACATACTGAAAATAATAATCGTATAACTGCATTGATAATATCGGCAGTAAATTTTTGATTCGCCAATGTTGGATGATTATAATCATTGATTGTCAACAATAAATCAATGATACAAAACATCAATAATGCAATAGCAAGGGCCATACGTATACTATTGTAATTATTCCATTTGAATTGTATTTGTTTTCCATATGATGATTGTGGCATTAATTTCAATGTACGTATCAATATGGGTAACAATATCGTTAGATATATGGCCGGTAACCAAACAAGAATCGTTTTACGAAAACATAATGTTAATCTTGGTTGTTCGGTTGTCCATGATATTTGATTATCCTATTGTATAAAAAAAGAAAATTGAAATTAAAAAAAAACATCAAATGATTAAGAAAAAAGAATTTATTGATCAAAACAAATGAAACGAAGAAGAGAAAATAAAACTGATGATTATTAGCCTTTCATTCGAAATAAAAATCGAATGAAATTGTTTTTGCATTAAACTAAATTCACAAAGGCTGTTGATTAGGCAAAACAAAATGATAATAATAATAATGTTTATTGTGAAAGAAAAAACAAACGAATAAACGAACGAGCTAAATAGTATAAATGGTATACAATTAAATTAGAAAATGAAAATAGAAAATAAAAGCCGTAATTAAAATAAAGGCAGAAAATATATATAATCATTATGTTCGATAAGATCTGAGAATCTATCGAGACAAACAAAACAAAAAAAAAAATCTTAAAAAAGGTTTCAATTGCCAAAAAACATAGTGGATGAGAAAATGTGTTCAAGTTTGTTAAAATTTATTCAGACAATCTGTCCATTTTTATATTTTAGATAAAAAATAGACGATGAAGTTAGTTGTTTCAAAAAACAAAAACAAAACAAAAAAAAACAGAAAAAAATGCAATTCAATGTATAGCAGTGTATAGATTTTTTTTTGCTTTGATCACCGTTTTTTTTCTCTCGAATATTTCTTGCTATAATTTTCTCTATTGCATCGCTTTTATTATCAATTCTTTGGTTCATGGAATTTTTTTTTTTGTTTTTTTGTTTGTTTCGTATAAAAACAATACGATTGAACCTCTCATATGTTATTTTCATTTTCATTTTCATTCACACACACACAGTAATGAATCCAAATAACAGAAAAAAAATCAATAATCACTATATGTGGCCATCATCATCGTTAATAATGGGCAAGAGGGAAACAAATAAACGAAAAAAAAATAAAAATAACGGAATCGATTTGGTAAAAAAAAGGCCAAAAGTGAAGAAAGAAAAAAAAACAATAACAACAAAATATTCGGATGGAATTCTTACCCAAATTGATTTTGAACCACAATATGAATACCATAATGAATCTGTTGTATTTATCATGATATTCATCATGGTCATCATTTCATTCAAAAAAAAAAAAAATGGGGAACAATCACTTTTGTTTCGTATCAAAATATTATTATGGACAATGATGTTTATGATGATGATGATTATGATGATGATGACAAATCAAGGAAATCACTAGAAAAAAAAACTATTAATGTCCATCAACCATACCAGTCAAAAAAAAACAAAAATAATGATAACCGGAGAATAATGGATAATTCTAATGATAATGTGATGATGTGATTATTATGGCTGTAAAACAATAAAAAAATCAAATTATGATGATGAAAATAATCAATTCCACTAATAAAATTATCATCTATTTTTTGATGAATTCAAGTGTGTGTGTTTGTGTGTGCAGAATGATGAATGCAGATTCACTGGTTATTTATAAATAAATGAAAAATTTTTTCTCGCCAACAACTATCACAGAGACCGATTTAGAATCAAAAAATTATCCATCTTTATAGCTGTTAATTATCGATTATTATGTTATTGATGATAATATTAGTCAATCCTTGAATCCATTATTAATAAATTAATTGGATTGTCGACAATATAGCCATGATAATGATGATGATTTTTTTTGTATTTTTTTTTTAATTATGATTTCAATATACTCAAAATGATGAGACACAAGTGACAACAAGATCAACAAGAAACGCCAAAAATCCTGGAGATATTATCATCATTAAATTGTTAAGAAAAAATTGAAAAGGTGATGGAGTGATATCAATAATAATCATAATAATAATTTTATTTAGAGAAACCTCTATATCTTATCTTATATATTCATTAAGACGCCTGTTTATGAGTAACTGTCGGGTTTGCACTCTGCAATTGTTGCATAAACTCTTGTATGAATTAATTTTATGATTCATTTATAATTTTTATCGGTACCATATAAATTTCAGATGCAAATTTATAATATTTGATGGATTAACTTGAGTGAGAAAAAAAAGCTAATCATCATCATCATCATCATCAAAATACGTTTATTCTGATAATAAACGTATATAATATAGAGGTTGACATTATGAAAATAATGATTATGATCATCATCATCATCATCATCAAATTGTCACAATTTTGAACAATAAATTTTAATAATGATAATTTTGAATCGACGAAAGAATAAAAATGCTAACTAAACTAAACTACTTAACAAAAATAAAAAGATGCGGAAAAAGAAAAGAGAAAAAAATTTGCATCCATTCAAAATGATCAACAACACTGGAAAAAAATATTGTCTGAACATTGTAATAAAAAACCCGTGCCCTAGACATTTGGCCTATTTGAAAATGTATATTATACATACAGCGATGATCATCATGAAGATGATGATGATGATGATACGGATGTGATGACATCATTTATTTAAATTTTTATCATTTGACTTTTATTTGATTATCATCATCATCATCATCATCATCATCATCATCGATGATTATGATTTTTTTTTCTATTTGCCGTTTTGTAAAGTTTACCGTAAGTAGGGTAAGTTCAAAATGAGAAAAAAAAAGTTCAAATAGTGACAAGTCTATCAAACTTTTTTTTTCTGAAAAACGGAAAAAAACGGTTATCACTAAATTTTATCCGTTTTTTTTTTGACAAAATGACAAATGGAAATAAAGGGCTGTATATAAAAGTAGTAGTAGTTGTAATAGTAGTACAAAAACAAAAAAAAAATTCTGTCTTCCAAATATGGTGATGGTTTCTTTATTTTTCAGAATTTGTAAAAACTTTTTTCAAATTTTTTCTCCGTCATTTATTCAACATCGATCCAAGAAACTAAACCATTCTCTAAGTGCTATGAAGAAAAAGTTTAAAGTTGTTAGCCAATGACAACGGCGATCAATTCTACAGAATGTGAATCAGAGATCTATAACATTTTGTTTCATTAATTTATAAGTTAATTGGCAACAATTAATGTGAATAAGTAAATCACTTTATGGTTATTATTATTATTATTATTATTATGAAGAGAATTTTCAACAATCACACACACACACACACACAATTCCACTGATTCCATATGATTGAAAATGGTAATAGTATTAGTAAATTGGCATGCAATACTACAATGGATATTGTCATGGATTGCATCAAAGTTCTTTGCTTAAAGATTTTTTTTTCTTCTTATTTTTTTTTTTTTTTTTTGCTGCCTGAAATTAATGTATTCCAATTTCGTCATTATCATCATTATTATCAGAGAGAACAAGTTTCAATTACCCCGAAAAAAATACACAGATTTTTCTTTGTTAAAAATCATTGAGTAAATATCAAGTGCAAAATAGGTACTTGACGATGATGATGATTGATTTGGAGATTGAAAACTGATTTTTTACGTTTCATAGAAAAAAAAATGAGATTTAATGACACAAAAAAATTGATTTTTGTTGTTGTTTTTGAAGTTGTACTTACGGTTGTTGAGATTTTCATGACAAACACATAAGTTAAATATTTAATTAATAGAAATAAGAAAAAAAAAGACAAATTCAAAGTTCGATTCATGATTTCTATGATTATTATTCTTGTAATGAATCAGACAAAAAAATTTTTTTTCATTTTCATTTTCATTTTTCCACCCATATATTGGTCATTCATGATGATGATTCATGTATTTTTTTTTCATTAATTTAATGGACCCAAAAGAATTGATTTCTATAATAAAACATAGAAAAAAAATTCCAATTTCGATTTTTTTTTGTACTGTTTCTGTTATCTTTTCTTAAATCATCAAGAAAAAAAAAGAAATATATAAAACTGTCACATATACATTATCTGTGTGAGACCATACTACGACAGATGATGATGACGATGATGATTATGTTTGAAAAGTAAGAGTGGTTTTTATATATAAATATTTTCGATGAAAAAAAAACAACAACAACAGGGGGAAAAAGAAAAAACTCATAAGTCTTGTTTTGTTTTTGTTTGTTTTTTGTTGGGAGATAGAAAGAATCATTTCGTCCAAAATAATCAACAATCAATAAATTGATGATAGTTTGACCAAATTAGCGTTTTTTTTATATTCGGTAAAAAAACAAAATGCCAGAATATTTTTTTTCTTTTTTTTTGGTCAATAAAAAAAACAAACGAAGAATTGGAAAAAAATAAAATTAAATGAAAATGAATGTGAAAGAAAACAAAACAAAAAATTTTTTTTTTTTTAATGTTCCAAATCGTCATAAAATGTACCCAAATAAATATGTGTATATGTTGCCGACTTATTTCATTATTTTCATTTATATTTATTATATTGTCTTATGGTTTCCTGGGCTATCCATGAATGATGATGCCATTTCCTGTATTGTGTTTATGTTTACAAATAACATCCAGACATTAATATTAGTAGTAGTAGTAGTGGCCAATAACAACGAAAAAAAGAAGAAGAAATGAAATCTTTTAGGGTTTAAGAGAAGAAAAAAAAACACATTACCCGCATCTTATATCTTAAGTGTGTGTGTGTGTGATAGTAACACTTTATAATAATGATGATGGACATTTATTTTTCTTTTTTCCGTGAAAACAGTGATATAGTGAAAATTAAATTAAAAAAAAATGATAAAATAAACAAATTCTAGCTTATAAACGACGATCATCATAATCATCTGATCAGATTATCGTGTTAAATGATCGTTAAATTTTTTTTTTATCTATTCCGTCTAATAAAAAAAATCACACACAACACAAGTGACAATCCACTTTTTGTGTCGTCGATAATAATCATACTTGACTGATGGATACATAGTTTAGGCGCCAATTTCATTTTTTTGTCGTTTTCTTTTCATTTTTTTTTTTTTTTTTTGGTTTGTTCTGTTCTAGTGCAAATATCTATCTATAGTAAAAGTGTGTGTGTGTGTGCAGATATTTATTAAAATGATGACAATAATGATGTAATAGACCAGAAAAGAGGCCATAGGCAAAACATAATATATATGTGTGTGTGTGTGTTTGTGTTCTATATATAGATATGGTGACAAATAATAAACATGAATAACAAAATCAAATCAACATGAACCAGAACATTCACCAGAAAGAAATATAGAAATTAAAAACATTGAAAATACCATCATCGTCATCTTGGATGAAGAAGGAACAAGAACAAGTAAAAAAAAAATGAAAGAATCAAACAAATATTTGAACAACAACCAGTATAGCCATTAGAATAATATTTGAAAGAAAAGAAGACCAAAAAATAAAAGATACATAGAAAAACCCGAAAAAAAGGAAAGAAAAACACGAATTGATGATGATGAGAAGTAGTAATGTAATATAGTATACAACCATTGCATCACAAATGAATTATTGCACTTGAATTATTCACACACACACACACATACACATGGTTTGAATTTGTCGTTTATTTTTTTGTTTTGTTTTGTTTTGCTAATTTTTCTATGTCTGTGTACAATGTTCGTATGTCAATCCAATAGTATATAAGATGTTGATGGTGCTTAGATAGCCAAACGAAGCGAAAAGCTTGGTCCTGGTCCTGGTCAACATGGGAATGATGATGAAATAAAACCAAACAAAAACGAAAAAATCAGAAAAAAGTAACAACTTGTACCATCTAAACCATCTAAGAGACTTTGTTTTTTTTATTGTCCAGGCATAGTTTTTTTTGATTATCTATCTATGGCACAATAATTACAATTTGATCTGATTCTTTTTGTTGTTGTTGATGATGATGATGATGATGATGATGATGAAAGACATCATCGATTATGTTATTGGTGGTATTTTTCCATTGATTCAATCGATTATCTCACCAAATAATAATAATAATAATAATTATCAATAATGATAATTATCATCACCAATAACCATTTTCATTGCAACAACAGCAACAAAAAACTATTGAAGCACTTTGCTTTTATTTATCATGAAAGTTGAGACATTTGAATCAATGGAAAATTTCTTACATTTTTCCCTTGATTTTCCATCATTGTTTTATTCGTTCATTCATTCATTCATTTTTTTTAGATTATATTCATTGTTGAAATTTGTTGTGCAAAATCATCAAAAAGAATATGAAAAAAAACCTTAACGAGAATTGAATTTATTGTTGTTGTTGTTATTGTTGTTGCTACTTCTGATGGTTACAAAATGAAATGATCATTCATCAAGTA